GCGGGGTGGGGACCTGCCCGCGGCTCCAAGCGGCGCCGGAGACTGGGGCCTGCGGCCCCGCGGCTGCTGTCTCCCGCGCTCCCCCTCGTGGAGGTTTGCGGGTCCGTGACCTTCGGGAGGCGCGAGTTGAGTCCGGCCACTTGGGTCTGTCTTTGGCACCCGCCTCCGTGACCCTCACTACTCAGCCTTGGGCCAGCGTCTCCCTGCCAGTGGCTTCTGTTTTGTTCCCCCCAAAACACGCGAGGGACCCGCGTGGCCGCCTTCGGAAGCCCTCCTCCGCCATGCACGCTGAGCGCGCTTGGAGCCTCGGGGACAAGTGGCGATCCCCCGGCGTGCGCCGTTGGCCAAGGCGCTCCTGCGGAGCCCCGCTGGCTAGCGTGTGGCCGAGGAGGGGCGTCCAGTCGGGAGCCAGGAAGGGGGGCGGCAGGGCGCTGGGGTCTGCTTTCAGCCTTCCCGGTTTCCCTCTGAGCGCATCCGCCTCGAGCCGCCCGCCCTGTGATCAATAAAGCCCAGACAGACAGACTGTTGATCAGTAGGAGCCGCTAAGTTTTCCTGGGTAGACAGGGGACGAGTAGCCGACTAGAGACACTTAACGAAAATTAGCAAATCCAAAAAGCACCCGGCGCCAGCGAGACGACACAGGCCGAGACTGACACTCAATTAACCACCCCCCAAACAATCGCAGGCAAACACACCGGCTGACCCTGATCAATATCAGCCCCGCAGTGATCTCCTTTCTGAGATGCTAATTCATTTATTAGGACTTGGGGGGGAGGGGGTGCCTGACCGCCCCAACATACCCAAGGCGATCCAGGAGGTTTGGCTGTTTTTATTTTTTTGGAGGGGAAATTCAGCTTAAAACTCTTATCTGAAGAAATGTTCTTTTATCCCCTAGCCCAAACACCAGAGATTAACAAAAGTCAACCATTTGCAAAATTTCCTTTTAGGATCAAACATTTCCCTGCCTGATAAAATGTCAAGGGGAGGGGGGCGGAGAGAAAAGCTCATTTAATGCTAAAATGGGAAATGTAAAGTCACAAACTCTTTAAGACTAGAATGCAGAAGTGAGCTTTAAGACTAAGAAAAAATATATATGTCTGGAAGACTGAAAATCAAGATGAACTTTGTAAATTAAAGTTATTGAAAGTCCACAGAGCTGCAAGATGTAGTTAATGAAATTGCTTTTGAAAAATATTTATATGCAGAAAAAATAAAATAATTTCATAAATTGATGCTCTTACCATCACTTCGCTAGATCGACATTGCATACAAAAGGAGGGGAGGGCAAGCACTGCAGAAGTTTTTAGAGGAAATTAAGCTGGTTAGGACACCAGGTAAAGGAGGCCTGTCTCAATTGGTGGGCTGACGTCATTACTTGAGGAGTTTGATCAGAACTTCCTGACATCTAATTCTTTGACTAGTTAACAATTCTAAGGAGTTAATGCAGACAATACTTTTCTTGTAATGACACACTCTTTTAACTCCAGAGAATCAATCATTAACTAAAAGAAACTTTGAGAGTATATTTATTCAACTATTTTGGAGACCCACTATAAGCCAGGCTCACAGTGTCTGGGCTATAAAGATGTCAAAACCTAAATAGGAAACACAAGCAATGGAGTTTGACAATGATAAAGATTTACGTGCACAATGTTATGATGCATAAGGAAAGAAGAGATAACTAACTAGCTCAGGAAGGTAAAAAGAAAGGTCTGCTGCAAAAAGTGACATTGGGCTCCTGAAGAAGAAAGATTCGCAGGGAACCATTATAAGCACTGAGGACCACAGGAATTTAGGCATGAAATTAATTGATTGTTTGGGGGATATAAGTGGTAAGTAGGGGATGGGTAGATAGAATTACAAGCAATTCCATCTACCCATGCGCATAAAATGTGAAACAAGGAATGGGCAGAGACACACTGGAAAATAACTATAGTTACCTGGGATGCAGATGAATCCTTGGTTACGGAAAGGGGCTTAGGAAGATGTATTGATGAAAGCCGTACTGTAGTAAACACTTTCTGAGTGCCTTCCCAGCCCCTTTCTCTGGCGTGGGCCTTGGCAGCGAGATTAGGGGACTCCGCCCCTCTGGCCATAGCTAGTCACGTGACTCCAATTAGGTTCTCTTTTCCGGGGCAGAGATGCCGCTCAATCTCTAGAGGTCATTTCACGGGAGATATGCAACTTCAGAGTTCACCTGTCTGCAAAGAAAGAGAAAAATGACAATAGGTTCCATATTAAGGTTAACTCAGGCACCTTAAAAGTTCTCCTTTTACTAAAGATTCTTCTACCTTCCATCCAAAGGGTCCGAACTACAATTATTGTATTTTATTTAATTAATATTGACTTTTATCATTCCAGGATGTATACTTTTTTTCTTCCAAACGCAATTCAGAATAAGAACGTGTGATTCTTCAGGCAATGATTTCAACTCTCTTGTTTTTATTATTAGTTTAATGGACAGAGTTTCAAAATGACTATGAATTAGTTTTAAGAGAAACAAGTCTGCACTTTAGTGGTTTTGGAGCAGACATGGACTTTTCAACTAAGTGAAGGAGAGTGAGTCAATGTGGGAAATCAAAATTGGTTTAGGGATAATATGTCAAATAAGAGGCCATATCAATAGTTGAGAGAATAGGCAACGATTTTAATTCAATTTAAAACTCAAGGAAAATTGCTTCTCTGGAGAATTTTACTAGCATTTTGTACATAATTCAGTTTTTACTTTCCTACATGTAGGTTGATAAGTAGAGAAGAAAATAGTAAAATCTAGTGTCTTTTGGAAATTTAAATCAAGAAATGAAATCAATGACCAAAATCTTTTGACAGGAATGCAGAAAACACAAGCTTTAAACACAGGAACAGAAAGCTGATTCTAGACCTAAAAACTGAAATACTTCAAAATTATAATAGTTTTATTTTATTAATTTCAAACAATGTTCTAGGTATGATTTATCCATGGATATATATTCTATATAATCACAGCATGCCGCTATAATACATTTTTATGGTTGTCCTATACCACAGAATAACATTTCAAATTTCATTTTTCTTATAAATAGCAAAAAACAAACAACAACAAAAACCCAAGGATTTTTATGTCCTAACGCATTTTGTTAACAAAGCTCTAAGTATTCTACCAATCTCTGCTTACTTAAATAACGCCATTGCTTATATATGAACTCCATTTTTAGTAATACCTATCTACAGTGCAGATGAAAAATAACTCGGTATATTTTGTTCAGAGAGAAACAGCTGTGTTCAAGTTCCTGCCTAGCAAGCATACGAACGATTGTAGTCTAGCACAAGAATCTAACATTTATGTCTGTTATACAAATCTTCTACCAACTAACGATCCACAGAGGTTAGGTAACACTTGAAATTCCCAGTAGCAGGTCTTTTACAAAGTCATTTATTCTCAGCAGAAGTTAAGAGTTCAGATCTAAAATTTACTTTCATTGGAATAAGGTCAAAGGTGAGAGATTAGCCCAGGCAAAAGGATGGCTGTCTAGTGAAGCTGTTTTTTTTCCTTCCTCAAAAATGGAAAAGGAGATAAAGGACTGACTGCAGAGTCTGGACACGTATTGGGATAGGACCTAGAAAGAAAAAAGACCGAAGCTCACATTCCAAAATGCCCATCCCCCCACAGACTAGCAAAAATGCTATGGGGTCTTACAAATAAACCATAGATTATCTATTGGGTTGATGTTTTCTTAATAATTTTTAAAGCAAGTTTAGAATACAGTAAGAAATGTCTCTGGTTAAAGAACATTCATTACTTTATGAACTTAACAATGGATAATACTTATAATCAAATAGTATCAAATATATTCTGTGTGATCCTTGACCATAAGCCTTAGCCTTAATGTTTTCATTAGACAATTAAACATTTAGACTCTTGCACCCCTTCCCACCACCCATAATCCACCTGTTTTCCGGTGTTCTGGTCCTCTAGTGGCCACATGGTGACTTCTCATAAAGCCATTCTCGTCTAATACTGGATCTTCCAAACTGAAATCTCACTGACAGAACAGAATGAGGTCTTGTGCAGAGGAACTTTGAAATTACTCATACATGCCATCATGTTTTTGTCACTGCCGTTGTGTTTATTTCATAATAATTTCTGAGGGAATAATTAGCTATACAAATAATTCGATATTTGTTTACTGTTTGCAAAGTATCGAGATACACATTAAATTTGATATATAGGTTCAACCCATGAAATGAAATGCCAGCCAATATCTTCTAACATTTAATACACTTCGGTGAAGTTTATTCTATGGGCAGAGGTGATGGAGAGAGAGCTGTAGGGTTGCATCAAGTGAGATCAGTAATGAACAGAATTCTTGTTCTTATCCTTGATATTAAGAGAACTTTTAATGCATTTATTCCCATATTCAATAATCTTCCTTTGCTCTTAACAAGTTCTTATTCTGTTGTGAATCTGTTTAAACCCAAACAACCCTCCGCTGTTCCTTTCATAGTTTACTGTTGCTTACCTATATTTTTAGCTTATTGTTTCAAAGACACCATTTAAAACATGTACATTTGTAGTACATTCTTCAGTCAGACTCGTTTAATTAAAAGGAAGAGAGACCCACTTAAGATTAATTAA